AGAAGAAGAAGAAGAAGAAGAAGAAGAAGAAGAAGAAGAAGAAGAAGAAGAAGAAGAAGAAGAAGAAGAAGAAGAAGAAGAAGAAGAAGAAGAAGCGTATTATCGATTCTGGATAAAAAAATATTAGTACACTGAGAATGTACATCTCTAATCAGTTGCCGATGGACAGTATTCGAGCCGGCAGTAGTGAAATCATTTGGTTGCAGGAAAACGCTTTTCGAATTGGATAAATGATTTTCCAGCAGGTTTCGAGAAAAGAGACTGAATTGAGTAAGCAAGAGAGAAACTATAAATCGTGATGAAAGGAAGCTTACTGAATAGTCCGTTTCAGGAACGCTCTTCACACCTGGCAAATTACGAAACTTAAATAATCTCACCAAAGCTGCTGTTATGGCACCAAGTTGGACGTACGCAAATTGCTCGCCAATACACCTGTGCCTCCCAGCGCCAAATGGAAGGTAAGGACTGTTTGTGCCTTTGCTAACAAGCCCATATCCATAGTCAACTTTCTCTTCATCTTCTGCGTTGGACGCAATCTCTTCATCCCAACGGTGAGGATCCCACTTGAGTGGATTGATGAAATACTCTTCTGACCTTGCTGTCACACCTGGTGATGAAAGAACATTATGAGATGTGGGAATCACATATGGCGTACCGTCGACAGGCATAGGATTCTTCACTGCACGTATGATGGAATGAATCGGTGCATGTATGCGTAATGTTTCTTTGATGACCTTGGCATGGAGATCCAATTTCTGCAGGTTCTCATAGGTCAGGGGTGGCAAATCAGAACCAAGGACACGGAGTTGCTCAGTGAATAGCTCATCCATAATCTCTGGATGCGCCGCAAGGTGCAAAACAATCCAGGAAGCGGTAGACGCCGAGGAATGCTGGCCAGCCATGAGAAGGGCAATCATCATGTGCGCAACCTCCTCGTCGGGAACTTGAGTGCCGTCTTTGTATGCGCAAGACATCAAGTTCCATACCATGTCTTCTGAGTCTTTCTTGGTCCCAGAAGTGCGACGAGCCTTGATAATGTCCATGTATGTTTCTGTCATTCTTTTCTGTGCAGCATCACGTTTCCGATTGTGGGGAAGAGGAGCCCAAGGTAGCATGAAATTAATTGGTGCAAAACCCATGTCGAGGTCATGATACAGCTCAGCAAACGTGGAGTCAAATTTGCTCCGAACCTCCTTGCCCTGAAGAGAACGTGAAGCCGTATAGATGGTTATTTCAGCAACCGTTTTGCCCACATCAAAAACACCATTAGAACCCTGGAAAGCTGGAGAAGTCTGAACAAAATCCTCCACTTCATCGGTTATCAATTGTACATAGGAACGAAGGGCGTCGGAGGTAAGACCAAATTTAACAAACTATTCATTGAAGTTAGCAGCGAACCATACAGTGATCGTGTTGTGCTTGCTAACCTTCTTCTGCTCCATCAATTTAGCGTTAGGGCAGTCATACACAACGTTGCGCCCAAACACAGGGGTTGTAAGCGGCGAATAAACTTCTTCGGCGCACACATCTCTTAGTTTGCCATTGAGAATAAATTCGTTACCCTTAGTACCAAGATAAACAGTGGTTTTCTTGCCGAGTAAGACAAAGGTAAATATGTCGCCGTACTAGTGGTCCGCATTAGCAAATGGGACACCGAGGGTATCCTAGATATTATGGGAAATACCTTCTCCCGACATTTGAAAAAAAAATTGTATGGATTCATTCCATAGCTGATCGTACTGCCAATGAAGGGCACCCAGTGAAACACTACGGGTGGTTCTTTCGGGTTTTTGAAAAGCAGTTGACGCAAAACATTCAAGACGACGGACACAGTACACAGGGCCACTAAAGTTGTCCCTAGAACAGCCAGTCCTGAAGATTCAGTGCAATACTGGGATATGTTGTCAAGCAGGACTGCGAGGAAGCCCATGGCTGCGTCGTGATAGCAGCTGGATGACAAAACCAGAGGCCGAAGAGATTGAGCAGTGTCTTGGGTGAGCACCCTCCTATAATGGGGTGTAATCGAACGAACAGGCGCTGATGTTTTCCTCTGTAACAATGAGAGAGGAGCTCTCCGAAAGTGAGGATGAGCGAAAGTGGCTGAAGAAGTGATCTTGATCTGAGCGCGGATTCTTCTAATCGTATTTGTTATGTATGGGACTGTACGTAGTGCTACTAGCCACTATTTAATCAGCTAGTATCATAATGGACTAACCCACGGTGGTTAACCCAACTTACCAAGTTAGTTAACTAGTTAGTTGATCATATTAACTAACTTGACTAGTTAACTAACTTAGAGTAACTATTCTTACTTAGTAAGCTGTATTTAATTAGTCAGATCATAACGTAATTCACGGGCGGGCTGGCCACACGAGCAGGCTGGCCATCTCTATATTCCATATTAAGAAGCTATTTTTTAACTTCTAATATCTTATCAATAAGACTAATTAGCTATCTTAGATCTTATTATACTTATAAGTAGTATCTATATTTTATGAAGATCTAGTTTTATAGATTTCTATCTACTGATTGAAAATATAATAGAAAAAACAAAAAAAAGAAAACATACTATATTTTATATTAGCTTGATATATAGAGCTAATAAAAAAAATCTTCTAAAACTAGAGATCAGGTATAGCTACTAGATACTCTATATATAAAGTTATAGAATAGGAAGTAGAATTTAGCTGAGATTTCGGTATAGTAAATATAGCTTATTTGTATAGATAATACAGATGGCCAGCCTGCTCGTGTGGCCAGCCTGCCCGTGGATTACGTTAGATGAGGTGAGAAGATAAAGTATTGAGAGTACAGTTAGTTCTATACCTACCTAATGTCATCCATCATATTGCAGAGTAGTATATTCATATGTAAACAGTACAGATCTGTAGTTGTTACTGAATCTGGTTACTATTGCTATCTGTACGAGGTGTTCCTTTACCTATGAATGTTACTCTTGAAAAGGTTAATAGGTAAGTGAAATAATTAGTTACAGGTATCCTATCATCTACAGGGTACAGACAGATGCTAAAGCCTTCCTCTTGGTGGTAATGTGATCGGTCAGCAAGCCGTTTTAAGCCGCCTGCCAGCTGCATCCTGTTTACATAGAGTCTGCTTTTGAACCTCAAAGGCCCCTGTATCAATCATCGGTCCCATGAGAGTAAGGGATGTCATGATTGAACCATTTCAAGCTACTCAAAGATTTTCTACTTGTCAAAACCTTTTATCCATTCTAGTAAAATTATTGAAGAGACCATAGGTATTTCATCTTCATAAATTTATACTATGAGCTGATACTACTATAACTTCTCCGTGTATTTGTTACTGAGCCTTCGAACCAAGTGTCTATTAGGTTGCAGGGACTAAAAGTACTAGGCACTTTCATTTATGGCATGTAGCTAGGGGTCTTTTATGATGTAGTCGCTTACCGATAATGTTAGTTCGACTTCAACCAGAAAAAACTTCTTTTGCCCCCTTGAAGTGATGCCATACATAAGAATACACTGGTAGGTAGGTAGGTAGGTGGTACAGCTGGAAAAGCCAGCAGGATCAGGAAGGGTAGTCATTCGGCAAGTGTCCCTGAAACTCGTACATTAATGAAGTGAACAAAACAACGCCTGGCCTATGGAAAGGGAAACTACATTCGGCCCAAGATGAGTTTTCTAAACTTTGTACAGAAACTTACAAAGTACCAGAGAGGGATAATGAGTTGCCAAAACTACTATACATAGTCTGGTCCTACTGTTAGATCATATCGTGCAGGCTGTGACCCACCGCTCAGGAGACTTAGTAGGCTGTATGCGAAGAAGTTTCTTTTTCTCTTTTTTTGTCTGAATCTTCTAAAAGTCGAGGAGTGGTCACCCATGCCGGCCCGTACAGTGTTTGTGCTCGCTATTGTATGTTTAATGCGAACGAAGAATTTAGCAGACCCGCCAAAGTGACTGTTGACTCTTGTCAATTGTGTAAAGAAGGAAGGGGAGGTGTTTGCATGCAACCTATCACCAGTTGGAGTTGTAGCCATAGAAGAAATACCGGAATCATAGTGTTACGTGACAGCTGCAGGCATCTCGCCAAGACTATATGAACAGCAGACCGCGATCTTGGATGAATTCAGGGAGCTTATACTGCATGAAGACCATGAGATAATGACTTGTATGTTGACCCTCATTGGTGGCCAGAGCCTGTTTCGTCTGGGTAAAGAACTGGATCCCCATGCTCCCCTAGATTGATAAAGTCTTTAGGTGCGCTGTGACCATCACAGGTTCCTCCGCTATTGCTAGGCTTGGCAGGATGATTGTGAACGCGTTTCTCGGCATGATTATTGTGAAAAACCCGCACGGGAGGACCATTGCTCTCCTTGCATTCGTTGAAGCTGGCATCATTGATATGGCTGAGGAGCGTTCTCTCGCGTGCTAGCTTACGCTTGGAAAAGTCCAGGTTTCCCAATGCGCCAGTCAGCCCATCCGTACTGTCGGATAAGCTGGGGTAAGTCTGTGTGAGCCATGGGTGTTCCAAGCATTCGTCGACGGTTATGCGCTTGTCAACATCGACGGTGAGCATTTTATCAATCAGATCCAAAGCAGGGTCGCCAACAGAGTCCCAATAAGGTGATGGATAATCGAAACGACCCATTTTGATTTGTTGCGCTAGGGTGTAAGGATTTTCTGAGGTGTAGAGTTCGTCAGAAAATGGTGGGAACCCACAGAGGCATATGTAAAGAACCACTCCAAGGGACCAGATGTCAACAGCTTTAGTGTACTTCCGTCGTCGAGATTCCTGCAGTATCTCGGGCGCGACATCTATAGAGTGAGCCAAAAGTTCTAGACTGAAGAGGGACTGGGCAGCTTACAGCTTGGAGTCCCACACCTAAAAGGTACAAACACGCATTAGCAAGCATTTTCATGAAATATTCAGGTTCTGTGACATACAGGGTCGTTGTGAAAGAATCTTCACCGATTATCTTGGCAAGTCCAAAATCTCCGAGTTTGACTGTCAATTTCTGGTCTGCAACGAGTATGTTTTCTGGCTTGATATCTCGGTGAACAATACCACGGTCGTGCTAACACGGACCTATTAGCTGCTCGACGATGAAAGGGATGAGGTAAGGATCCCTTACCAAGTACTTCAGACCCTCGAATATTTGAACAAAAATATGGCGAGCCTCCACTTCTGAGAACCGTTGTTTGCTGACGATCAGGTTGAAAAGCTCACCTTCCGAGGCAAGCTCGAGGACAAGATATACACCGTCACTTTCATCGAAGGTTTCTTTGAGACATAGAAGATTCGGATGACTGACACTCATTAATAGCCCTATCTCCTGTTGTAATGCATCAGTCTGTGATCTCTGAGAGTCGTTTGAGCGCTTCTCGAAGAGTTTGACAGCATAGTGTGTTCCCGTGGCTCGTTCTACACACAGATACACGGTGGCGAAGTGACCCTTCCCTAGCTGCTGAAGAATTCTATATTGTTGGCGAAATCGATTCGTGTCCCTTGTCCGAGGATATCTGAAAACAAAACGTGCTTGATCGAGAATTGTGACCTCGTCACCATCTTCGAGTTCTCGATGTTGATTACGTCCGACGATGGCATCATTGACAAATGTTCCATTGCTAGACAAATCTTCAAGAATAGCAATTGAACCTCCTTTCCTATTCTCTGGGAACAACAGGAAGTGACGATTGGACACGGTGGGAATGTTCAAAACAAGATCTGCCTGCTTGTTAGTCATCGGCAAGTTGGGCATGGCAATTTATCATTTTCTACTGACCGCATTCGCGATGGCGACCTATAAGATAGCCTCGTGGTGCCTGTGAGCTCGCTCGTTTATGCAATGACTCTGGCTCCTTGCGATGGCCTTCCCTTCCTGGCTTTGGTCCATGGGAATCGGGCTTGTGGCTGTCACATCCATTCCTTTTGCGCAAAACCATAGCCGCCTGCACTTTGTCATCGAGAGGAATGAGATAGCCCCATACTCCCTCCGCAGCTTCGTCTTCGACCTCATCGGCAAATGCTCTGGGTGGATAAACAAACTGAGAGAGGGCTTGCGTATCTTGAGGTGGGGATGGACTCGCTTGAGGAAGCCCCGTGCTCAAGGGCGTATGCTGTTGGATGCACTCTCTGTCATTTTCCGTAGTAACTAGCTCTTTGTCATTGCTTATAGTGGTCGACTCCTGCTGGACTATAGGTGTAGGTAGATGTGACTGCTTGAGAGGTTGTGACGGTAAAGCTTCGTTTTCAGACTGTCGCGGTTTTTTCTGGTGCTTCGAATCATGCTCTTTGCTGACCTACATATGATTTTTGTCATCAGCCATGCGTGATGACGAAACGGTTCAGAGATAATAGATTGACGTACCCTTCCCCGCTTAAGAGAGCTTCTCTCATTCTGTGGTGCCATTGTTCTGCTATTCACATTATATTAATAATTCACTTGCGTGGAGTTGCAGCTTGTGAAAAACCTTGACTTGCTGTAGACAGCCGGTTGAGCAAGATGTCTGAGCCCGTAAATAGATTCGAGTGAATGAGCCAAGAGAGACAGAAGAAGTTGGAACTGGAAATAAGAGGAAGAAGAAGTATTGGAAGAAGAAAAAAGATTGACTTGCTCAAGTTCCGCGAGTAATAAGAGAGTGATGAGATCGAAGGAACATTGAATTGCACATAATGCGGGAGATGTTGTGGACCTGATATTAGGCAATCAATCCAGCTCGAAGCTGCAGCTAGCGTGTGGTCATATAAGGATCCTTAGTGCGCAGCACCTGGACTCAATGCTCAAGAGCTCTTCTTCTAATCACATAAAGATATGCTGAGACACCTTGCAGTAGAAGTCACAAGAGTGAATATGATCCTAGTCGCTATTGACTCATGTGAAGCTGACCAGCTAGTTAGAGATTGCGTTGTGAGAACAGCATTCCGGTACCTAGTTTATCCGGTGTGCAAAATACAATCGTATAAGCAACCTCTAATCTCACAAGACAGCTATCTGAGAGTGATACTGGGCGGATATATTCTCAATAGACAAACTGAAGCATGAATGTCCACAAAAAATCCCACATCTGCTACAACTCTCAACCATAGGTCCCATTTCTAGACCTATACGCTCAGCAAAAGTGAGATCTCACTAAGTATGGTCTACCATAAGCAAAGTTCGGAATCACATACTAAGTTGATCTCATATACTTATTACAGTCGGTAACAGCTTCCATCAGAGCTTGTATCTTCCGATCTTTGAGCACTGACTCTTCAAGGGACCGGGACGCTCAGGGGTAGAAGTACTAAGCTAAGTACACGTAAACTATCCATAATTAGTTGACTACGGGCCGAGGTACACCGCATTACTGGCTCCACAGATAAGTTAAGTGCCAGCTACGCACCGCCTCTGCTACTTGAATCCACAAGCTACGAAGTACACTGCGCCCCTTCTGCCGCTGTCCTGCCGCAAGGAAAAAGAATCGATATACAACCAGTGTTCTGAGTAACTACTACATCGATACCTGAATTTCTGCATTGCCGCTGCTGGCAAATGTTCTACGGGAGACGTCTGCATAATGATCGAGTAACCAAGCTGCAACCCACTCCTACGCCCTTGGGAACTAATGTAAATCATAGGCTCCCTTCAACTATTCGACGAGCTGCGTTAGAAAGGCTTGCAACGCTAGCGGCGCAAGCGTCAGAACCCGATGAGAGCTTGATGATTGAGCGCATCACCCAGCCGTTGCAACATGATCTTCTATCCGACAACACACTTGCTGGCCGACTGCCAGGCCAGAGTTCACCACGGATTTCCATGGTACGTGTCTCCAACCACGTCAGACATCGAGCGCTACAAAGACTGACAACAGCGCAGGGCACCAGAGAGTTGGATGTGGTCATAGCCCTGTGTAAAGCTTCGCCCGTAACCGCTACTCTGCAAAATGCATCGAAAATAGCGGTACAATTATCGCACTATCTACCAGATTCGCACAGCCAGCTCTTCCGCCCCTCGCCTTTCTTATATAATGTGAAACCATCTCCGTGGGAGGTTCTTACTTACAATCTTACATTGGCTCTTCTTGCACTGGGTTCCAAACATGCAGGGTTGCGTAGTATCGTCTTTGGTGCCTGCAGCACATACTTGCGAAGCTGCACCGAAGCAATCAGTGCCGTGACACCTACACAAGGCTACGGAACGGAAGCAATCGAACATGTCAATGGGCATGGCTTGACTCGTATCTTATCAATCACTATGTCTCTCGTCGGCTTCATGGAAGCATTGGCATGTTTCGCTTCGTTCTGGTCCACAGATGAAAAGCTGTATCTTGTCGAGAAACTACACTCGATTCTCTCGGAACAGTACATGATAGCTGTGGAGACCGCTTCCTCAACAGTGCGCAATTCGAGTATGCCCGATTCTTTGGCGGGTGATTGGAAACGATACGCTCATCGCTATTCTAGCGGTGGACGCCCTGTAAGCGCAATGCTCTTACGGGAGGGCTTGGCACGCTTCATCAATTCGTGCGCCGTATCTCTGAATGGGAAAGATGATCTTCTAGATGAAGAGCTTCTGAAGAAGCATACCCTTCGCCGCCAGACCACCACGATTCTTGAGGACGCAGAACTAGCCCTCGTTGATAAGATGACAACAATCATAGCCGAGGAGATGCGCCTTCTTGAAGAAGGATCTGATTACTTGCAGCTAAGTTCTCATTGGCAGCAGCGGCTTGCCTTCTCTACGAAGAGGCTCGCTCTTACCGGCTACCTTCATTGTGTTGCGTTAAGCTCAGATGCCACAAATAGCGAAGAATTCCTTTCGTGGCTAGAGGCAACGATCGCAAACACGGATCAGATGTCATATCCCGATTTAGCCACAGCTACTCTAAAAAGCATAGCGGTTATTTCTCGGTTGGCCCCTAGCAGCGCATCTTTCGGCAGCCGTTCCCTTCTTAAATTCATCGTTGATGGAAACGTGTCTACTCGTTCGACTGGCCTAGTTGCTGCCCAATGCCTTGCGTATGTTCTTGATGTCCTTTCCCAGGATACAGTCATAACAACTCTTTATTCGCTGGGAAACGGTCTGAGCCATGGCCCTAGCTCAGGTAAGTTACATCAGTTACAGCTTCTAGGTGATGGAACAACTCATGGGAGCACACTTGCGCTCGTATCACGAGGGATAAGTGACATTGCTACTATTTCCATCTCTGAAGAGGGAGAAAACGAACATTATGGCAGGATAATACAAGCCATTGTGACGATCGCGGGTAACTCTGACGACGGAAAGATAAGTGCTTTGGCACAGTCAATGTTATTACAGAAAATAGGGAAGGTGAACGTCGCAGTTGATGCTTGCATCATAAAAGAAACCGCTGCTTTATCCTTGAGCACTGGGCCAGCTGAATTCCAGCTACTTCTGAAATTCTACGATCGTGCGTACAGGGACAGTATCACAAGAGGCTATCAGAAAGTTGCGGAGGCTGTGAAAGGCGCCATGGCGTTCATTTCCGTCACGCTAAAGAAGAACTCCGCCTTGTACAGGATCTATCTCATCCACCTGCTTGAGGGCATGGTCAACAAAGGCGCTGCTACCGATCTCGACCATGACCGCCAAAAGGAGGTTCTACTGGCCCCTGACGATATCGTTCCTTTCTTGAAACCACTGGCGTTACTTGTATCTTCGGGATATGAATTGGCGAACCAATCGGAAGCAGATATATGCTACGATCAGGATGTGTCAGCTCTTTTCCGAGATGCCTGGTTCAACATTACAATACACGGCATAACGCTCAATTCCCCTGTCACCCAACGTCATCATGAAGAATTACGCTTACTTGCTAAGCACTCTCCATCCCTTGTCTCCGAAGATCGCATGGACATGCTGGAGAGCGATGTCGAGCTGAATACAATTCTCAGGCGCGGTATGAGTCAGCAGCGTATTCTCGAACAAAAAAAGAAGCTAATCGCTGAACTACCTGGCCGAGAGGCCGAGATCAAACGCTTAAGTTATCCGCGCGTGATATTCCTTAATGCTACCTTGCTAATTGAGAGTCTTCGGGCTTTGTCGGGAAATTGCAAGGCAATCCTCAGTTATTTTCGAGATCCGGTTTTAGCCACCGCTGAAATGTCTACTTGCATGAGTGCTATCGCCGAGAAAGTTGTCTCTTGCCATCTTTCGTTGACACTGGCTGGAAAGCTTGAGCAATTTTCTGTACCTTTCTTGTCAAGAGAACTTGCTGGCTTTTTCGTTGCGTGCTGCCATCGTGTGGAGCGAGTTCAAAACATTGCTGTTCTCTGTGCAAACAGAATACTGCGCGAGTGTCCTTCAGCTTTATGTGCAAAGGACTCTCTCTTTGCTCTGCTTGAGCTCTTGACTGTTATGTGGCAATCTTGCCTCGAAGGCGAACTTGACGAGTACGAATGGAAATCATCTTTCATTTCCCCTTTTGGTCTTGTGCAAGTCGAGTTACCCGACAACTATAGCTTCAGAGAGAGAACTTTAGATGTGCTATTAGAACGTGCCCGGGCGTGGGTAACGGCAGTGATGAATATTTCACCTCTGGATGTGAAAGGACTTCTGCAGGTATGGGAACGCAATGCTTTGAGCACTACGATACTAACACAGGCCTCTAGGCGTATCTCTCCATATCTGATGACAATAGCGGGGATGGCCAGGTTTCCTTGGGCCGGTCTTTTGCCTTAGAAATGGGTGCGCTGATCCCAAGCAGCAATCAACGTCTTGGTACGTCGCGGTACAAAACACGCTTACTTACCCAACAAATCGTCCTTGTCCATTAGAAAACAGTTCGTCTTACACGTCTGATTCTCCTCAGGCTCTATTAAGGGGGGTAGTGTGGGCGGCGTGCTGAACATAGCCTCCGGTTTCATATCCCAGCTATCCACACGCGAGCGGCACAGAATATCGGAGACGCTAATTGTGGACGGTGCTGTGCAGCATTTGAGCAAAGCTTCTGGTCAGGCTTCGCCTACCGTCTTAAGTTTCCTTGCTAATGTGTCCATATCAGACTTCAACGACATGGCGCTGGATTCCCCTTTACTAGGAACAGCCAGGACTGTGGAAGATACTCTTTCCAAGCTCTGTTCACGATTAAGGGCTGCAACAGACGTCCCTATCACGCAGGTTCGGACCGTACTGCGACAGGCTGCTGCCCTTGTGAGTAACCATGCTGCCAACCAAGCTTCTCTTGTCCGTTACCTGGTCACAGTGCCCTTCGAGCAATTTTCGCAAGAGTCTATTGACTTTGGAACGTCTCTTTGGCTGAGTGTCATGCACGCAAATCCAAGAATGGGTATTAGACTGTTGTCAGAGATAATGAGAGCATGGGAAAGAACAATTGACCGCAAAAGAAATTTATTCGATCCATCCTTCAGGTGAGTATATGACTACGACATTAGTAAAGACCTAAGCTAAGCCAGGAACAAAAAGCTGCAAGGACCCATTCTTCACAAAAATTGAACTGTTGCCCACAGATAGGACTCTCACTACACGGAATCAGGAAATGGCCCAAGAGAAGCTCAAACCACATCTGCGAATCCTTGAGTTCTTCGAAAGTCACTTCAACGCTACTCGGTTTGCGAACGCGCAGGCCCGACTTCTGTTCTGCCGCCTTGTTGACATGACATCGACGGGATTGTTGCAAGCGAGTAGTCATCCTCTCGCGCGGGAACTGTACTTCCGTGTCATCTTGTTCAGTCTCAAAGTACTAAATGACTGCAGCTCATATGATATGGCATTCCAATGGAAACTGAAGGACCAGATTTTGTCAGCCGCTTTGACTTGGTTCAAGACTCCACCAAGGTATATTCCATGCGACCCCCCATGTATCAAGTGCCTTCGTTAATTTTTGATAATCCAGATGGTCTTTTGGAGGTAATCGCCTTCAGATGAAAGCCGAAGACAAGATTCTGAATGACGTTGTCTCTGCTCTTGGGGATGTTTCTCTGATCTCTCGCCGCCTGCAAGGAGCCTACAAATCATTGCAATCAAAACAAGATCTTCTTCATATCCTTATAGAGACTGAGAGATCGCGCCTCAGGGTGTGGCTTTACCCACTAGACTCCGATCGCAAACATGTTAGCACACAATCGACATCGTCTAAAAGTCTCATTGAGGTTCGCTTCTCTTGGAATTTCCGAATTGAAGTTTAAATTAGATAAAACAACCAGGCTAACAACCAATCAGGAAGCTACAGCCCTGTTACAGCTCGCTTGGGCTGAGAGCCCCGGTTTGGCAATTCAGCTGTCAACCCGATTTCCATCGGCGAAGCTTAAGAGTGATGTCCGCTGGCTGATGCTAACTTTCCCCGAGAAGGCGATTGAAGAGCCTGAAGGTTTGGAGCTGATGTTTGGTGCCAATCTTCCTACTGACGTCTCAAGTCAATTGAAGGCAAGTATCAGGCTTGGTTCTAGTAAATCGCTGAATCTAACATGAACAGTATCTACTTTACTGGGCTTCTGTCAATCCAACTGAGGCGTTGACGTACTTTTTGCCCGCTTATGGAAACCATGCGTTCATACTACAGTATGCCATGAAAGCATTGGAGAGCCATCCAATCGACGTCCGCTTCTACTTTGTCCCGCAATTAGTCCAGGCTCTGAGATACGATTCTCTGGGCTATGTCGAACGTTACATATTGGAGACAGCTAAGCTGTCTCAGTTGTTCGCTCACCAGGTCATATGGAATATGAAAGCGAATTCATATAAGGATGAGGACTCTCAAGTCGTGAGTTGATAACACACCAAACATCCGAGGTATGAAAGTACTAATGGGGTCCGCAGCCCGATCCGCTCAAGCCCACCTTGGACAAGTTCATGGATGCTTTGATTGAAAGCTTCACAAACGAGGAACGTGATTTCTACGAAAAGGAATTCAACTTCTTCAACGAGATTACTGGCGTCTCCGGGAAGCTCCGACCATACATTAAGCGAAGCAAGGCTGAGAAGAAAGAGAAGATTGAAGAAGAGCTTCGCAAAATCAAGGTAGAGGTAGGGGTATACCTCCCAAGCAATCCCGAGGGGGTTGTCATCGGCATCGATCGCAAATCTGGTAAACCCTTGCAGAGCCATGCCAAAGCACCATACATGGCGACTTTTAGAATTCAGAAGACGAGGACGCAAGCACAGGGTGTTCGCCAGGAACCACGCGCCCTAGTTAAAGGTCGCAATGACTTCTCAGGTTCATGTGGGACATCGTCAAATGACGATTCGGAGACCTACGAAGTGTGGCAATCAGCTATTTTCAAGGTTGGCGATGATTGCCGTCAAGACATGCTAGCCCTACAGATGATTGCTGCTTTCCGAAGTATATTTGCAGGCGTCGGCCTAGATGTGTGGGTGTTTCCTTACCGAGTAACCTCCACGGCTCCTGGGTGCGGGGTTATAGATGTTCTTCCAAACTCGATTTCGCGCGATATGCTTGGCCGTGAAGCTGTCAATGGTCTATATGACTACTTCATTTCTAAATACGGTGGGGAGGATTCAATACGATTCCAGGAGGCACGTACCAACTTCGTCAAGAGCATGGCTGCTTACTCCGTTATATCATATCTGCTACAATTCAAAGATCGGCATAATGGCAATATCATGATCGACGATGCAGGCCATATTATACATATCGACTTCGGGTTCTGTTTTGATATCGCACCAGGAGGCGTGCGTTTCGAGCGCGCCCCGTTCAAACTGACGTCTGAGATGGTTGCTGTGATGAGTGGTAACAGTCACTCGCACATACACCCCATCAGCGGCTCTGGCGGTGGAATCGGCATGTCAGCAAGTGGCTCCCATAGTCCGACTAGCACTCAACCCTACATATGGTTCGAATCGCTGGTTGTGAAGGCTTTTCTTGCGTCAAGGCCGTACAGCGCCAAGCTTTCTCATATAGTGTCCTTAATGCTTGATAGCGGCTTGCCATGCTTCAAACCCGACACACTGAGGAATTTTCGAGACCGATTTGTACTTGAGAAAAGTGAGAGGGAGGCGGCCGAGCATATGCGTGAGCTTGTACGCAAGTCGTACATGAGCGTATCAACGAAGGGATACGACCAATTCCAGTTGCTAACCAACGGTATTCCGTACTGAGCCCAGGATAGTTGGCTAAAACATAAAGATTCGAATCCAACGACTCAGGGAGGTGCCAATTGCATTCTTGTTAATGATACATTTAGGGATAGAGTGGAAATACAAGAATTGATTGAGGTTCAAGTGAAAGCTAAGAAGAGGAACTCACCTTAACGCTCGATTGAAGAACTTTCGACAAATTCAGACCAATGCAGTCGGTCGATGCACGCGATATTACCACCTACTCGTTGATTTTATGATTGTTGTGAAATACTGCTTATCTAGTTTGGATTTAGGTGAAATAGCCACGGATTCATGAAGAGCAGAATACGAATTGATAAGATATCAGTAGAACTTGCCCTCAAAAGCCAAGCAAACTCGATGAGCTTCCGAAGTATGATGCAAAGTTGACGAAACAAAGCACACCAGCAGAAGGCGAAGCAAGAATAGAAATGTGAATGCCTTCATGGCACGCGCAATTTCGAATGTTGTTCTGGTTATGTACACCACCTAACAAAAAGCCTCTACATCTCTCTGCTTTTGGTGGTCAACATTTATATAATCCCCGATAGGACCTGGTAGGACGCAGGTTGAGACGAGTTATGAACCCTTGCCCGCTCGTACCTAACTACATTGAGAAGTGGCAGTCTGGCTCTGTTTGTAGAAGCAGATTGATCCTACTAATCCATGAAATCGCCACGAAGAATTTTCTCTTGAAAAAAGTCGGGCTTATTCTGTCTCGGCTGTTTGGGTATTTCGCGAGCCGGTTGCTCCATGGAGGCAATCGACGTAGCTCGTTGATGATGGCCGCCTGAGCCGACGACGGCCTGGCTTTGCGGCGTGTTGGGTGAAGTTACTCCCAAAGATGGGGCACGCTCGGCCCGAGTTCGCAGAGCTTCAGTCCAATTAAAGCCTTCGCCTATTTGTCTCCAAGACAAGTTAGACATCTCAATCTCGGGGGAAACATAGTTTGTACTTGCAGCAGTCGACTCTGCGGGGCTAATGGCAGAGCTTGTGCTACATATGGGCGGCAAACGTCGCGCACCAGATCCAGAGATTCCGGGGGAAGGATATCTACCGTTGTTGATACTGCCCGCACGACCATCTCGTAGCGCTTGCGCACCAAATGATAGACGCCGTGCAAACGGCGAGTTGGGGGTGGCGTTTGAAAGTCCAACGGTTTCACTGTCTTCCACAGCAGCGTCTTCTTGACTTGCTGAACCGGATCCAACTGAGCTTGAAATGCTGCCATGTCGCATGCTCTTACTGCCCCATGGAGAAGCTTGATTTGGAGATCCAGCAAGTCCCAAAGTAGTGATGGACAATCTTCGACCTTGATTGGATGGTGCATTGCCCAATGAAGTGGCCATGGAGCCCGGCGGCGCGCCTCCGGAAGGCCCCTGGCTACCAGACCTAGATAAATAATCCGTGAATGAAAGGCCTGACGCCAGCGATGCTCGGCGTCGGTGCGCAGATGACGGTGGGACCGAGATAGGATCGCTTGATCGTTCGTTTGACATGGTAACAAGATACGTGTTAAGTGAACAACAAGGGAAGGGCAAACGAATAATAGCTTCTAATCACATGGAGAAGAGTGGTCATGAAAGATGCGTGAAAAGGTAGTGACCATAAGGGGAGAGGAGAAAGTTGCGTGCAATATCAGCTCGTTTGGAGGAACGAGGGGGGAAGATGAAGCACTGAGTTGGTGACTTTGCTGAACAGTATGGCTTGGATTAAGTCAGGGAACCACTAAAGGTACCGTTTTAATCAAATAACACTGCTGTGAAAGGCCACGCGAAAATATCGTACGGAAAGAACTGGAGATACAAATCAGCATAGGTCGGTCGACTAAGCGGCACCCTGTTCTGCCCGTAGTATACACCCATGAACATTTGAACACCACAAATGGCGGTGGCGACACCGAACCTAAGATGTCATGATTTGTAATATAGGCTTGACCAGGACATGTGCCAGGTAAGTTGGAGATGATGAATCAATGGCGAGGTGAGATGAAGGTCGGGGGCGGGGAAGGAAGTGGTTCCCCCAGATGCAAGCCTCCAATAATATAATTATGATATTGCACTGTAGGGGTGGAGATGGAGATCAGAGGTTGCGATCATATTTTCGACTCACCTGTTTTTGTCTGCTGAGGGAAGTAGGTGTAGAATAATCCTGACCCTCCAACCGATATGAATAGTAAAAGATGCTGTCGTATGGGGAGTGGCGCTGCGAGCCAAGATAAGAGCAAGATGGGTGTGATATCTGTCAAGGGGATCTGAAGATTGAATACAAGGTAGTGAGAAACGAAAGGGGATAGAGAGAAAGAAATAGATTAAGGGAAGAAGGCAGGGAATTAAATAAGCTTGGTGATGGAATGGGAGGAGGGGACCTTTTTTTTTTAAGGGGGGGGGGGGGGTGGTTGTGTGGTGGAGGATGATTGTGGGGAGAGAGAACGATAGGGAGGAAAGGAAAGGAGAAGAAATCCCAGAGCGGTGGGAGAGTAGAAAGGAAAACAGAGGCATGAACCACAATCGCTACTGTTACATACATACATGCATACATACATATCTCCATACATCCATCGTATACTACGGTATTTGAGTACAAACTCACTGACCATTGACTGCATGTTGCATGATTCCAATCCATGATTGCTTTTTTACCCCACAAAATAGGAAGCGGTCTAGCCCATTTCGTCAGTCAATCTAGCCCAATACCGGGTCCGATGATTCATCATTGCTTTGGCGCATCCACGGTAAGTCAGTTACCAAGTGGTTTGTCACCTGAAACACCAACGCTGTTTGTCTCCCCCCCGGTAACCCCCACCCAAATGACCACGCTGTATGTATGTACTGTGCACAGTATACATTGATGATTGAAAAAGAGAGGAAAGTTTCGTAAAAAAAAAAAGTGAGAGTGACGAAGCCCAGTGAGAATGAAGGTTGGGGCTGAAATGACACGGGTATTGGTGTCTGCATGCATACTCTCTGTCTAACCTCGCTCTTCAGAGTTCGTGTATCTCTGGTCATTGCTTGAAGCATCCAACCAGTCCTCAGAGTAGGGAGCCCCCTTTTATATACATATGGATTATAGGACGTCTCTGAGAGCATAAAGCTCAAATGGTGAGTGGAGCCGGGGCGTATATTGGTGATAAATGATGTTAACCATCAACACATTCCCTTGTAAGGCATGTGGGAACAGGGAGTGATGTTTATCCAGAAAATGGGGTCGCCTGCCGAATCGTGATGGAGCTGCCGAGCGGGTTTCTGCTTGCCTTCCTCGCTCTGCCTCATTCTCTTCAACTATTTTCTTTCCCAGGAAATCCGTAGTGGACACTTTCTTGTGCACGGCCCATCCTATTGCTTCCGCTGTTATCATCCCCTTCCAATCTCACCTTGACAATGGTTCTTTCACTCCAGCGTGTTCGAGTGAAATAGCTGTACGAGTTTCCATCCTACCCCCGGCTCGATCTCTGTTCCGTCACGGGCTATCTTGACTTCTCGGTTCGCATTCCAAGGGTTTCGCAATCCTCTAGTACGATGGAATGGGACGCGGGTGGTCGATAGCCATCGTATTCTGAATGGTTTCCCGATCAACTGCGGACTCGGTTCAATGGTATCATCCGTCCTGGTACCGATCCTATCGGGCCTCGTATTGTCTTCATCCTCAGACGATTCTGCCTCCCAGAAGATGGTTCCTCTTATAGGATCATTGATGACTCTTCCTTTGCGAGCAGTAGATGTCGCTGGAGTAGGAGTAATGTCTGGTTCTTCTGGAATCGGCATACTGTTGGGTCGTGGCGATGCCTCTATAGCCAGGCTCTCATCTTCCTGTATGGGCGACATCATGCGAGCGTATCCGTAGTATTCGCCAGACTTGTTAGCGGAAAAGATCAGGTAAACATCATCTGTGTTCTGATCAAGGTCATCAGTTGAAATGTTCATATAGCAAGATTCTTAACGTGGACTTCTCCTCAGTGATCTGAGCGCTATCCTCACCTCGTAGGCTTCATTTAGTTGGTCCTCATTGTGAGTTTGTGTAGCCCAAATGTTGCTTTGTCGACTATGCTCGAGATCATCAATAGTCAAGCTTTTCACAACGAAGTATCTGCTCGAAATTCTGGCATTTGCGCGTCTGCTTTCCTCGATTCGCCGGTATTTTGGTGACTCCACATCGTCTTCAATGATTAATTGCTTACTCTCGCCTCCGTCTTGTGTTGGCGAGGACACAGACGAGCTCATGAATTCTTGATTGAAACTGGCCGGTATGGATCCGTGCCGCAGTCTGCAGACAAGACGCGCACCGTTGAACCTACAGTCATTGAACCTTGACAGGGCGGCAGCGCAAGCGGCAGCGGTCTTGTAGTTGACAAAGGCACAATTACTTTTGGAGATGAGAAAAACGCTTACTAGTTCCTCCGTAGCTTCCTGGGAGAAATGGTCTTTAAGATCTGTGATATTGGTTGCTGGGGGTAGATTCCCGACCCACAAAGCATGGCCGGACTGCTTGGGCTTCCTGGGTGATCCACGTAAGGCATTTGATCCGAGCGACTGGGACGAATGCGAGGTCGCACCTGCAAGAATTAGTTCAAACTATGTGCATGGGGTGTGGTCTTCTCTTGCACAGCGTATTGCTGCCAGCTTACCAGTTAAAGAGTGCTGTGAACGCATCGGCGTAGAGCCATCCACAATCGTCTTCGTGACATCATAATCCGTGCTGCTGTGTCGTTGGCCATTTTCTCTATCAGAATCGGTGGCCTTCTTGGCCATATGGCCAGGCGAAGATCGGCGATGCGAAACCGACATGCTTGTCGGTGCCAACCGAAGGTCAGGTGCAGCCGCAATCGAGGCCTGCGGATAAATTGGCTGTGCATATGAATTTGTCTGACCGGGGATATGAGAATTAGCCTGGCTTAACGAATTAGGTCTCAATGGTTGATGGCTGGGGGCGTTATGTTGAACATGCGGTTCCTGGTGCTGGTTCTGTTGAAAATATGGCGCATAGAACGGAAAGGGGGCACCAAATGTCATATTCGCATTTATCGCCGCTGGAGGATAAGATGATAGTGCATGGATTGGGTAAACAACTCCCTGGGAGAGGACCGAGGGGGCATATTGTTGTTGCATCGGGTGTTGCTCGTAAAGGACAGGGTGAAGTTGGTAAGCAGGTAGGATCGATCGGGCATCACTTAGATTGGAACCCGGGTGTAAGCTCCCCGGTGCAGTGTATGAGGCGTAGACATGTCCATCAGAATATGGATGCATATTATCAGTCTGAACAGCCTGGCTGAAGTGAGACGAACCTGACCAAGAGATCAATTCAAACATCCGAAATCAGGACTAATCCTTGCTATGCAGCCGCTCCGTCTCAACTTTTCTGACCCTTGCCCCTTTTCTCCAACCCCAACAAGCGACAGGGAACAACAAGGACTCGAGAAGGAAACTCACTCGATGGTCGATAAAAGGCTGCTGCTCCATTGCCTTCGCCCGGAGCTACGACTGGCTCAATTTTCTCGGCAGTCTCCAGCGTGGCATTTGACTGGGCCGTTAAGGCGCGATCAACTGGCTTTGTCATGGTAAGTTGAAACAGGTTGGACTTAGGACCGAAGGAATAATTCTGATTGTATTAGTACAATTTTTATGTCTTTGGAGGGGATAGTGGGTGAAGGAAAACAGAGCTCTGTCACTTACCTTCCTCAGTGCCTGTGAACCACTAGCACCTCTATGGGCTGGTTTGCAGGCTTTCCAATGATCAAAAAGCGGCTTTTCTGTGTCAGTGCCGGTTAGAATTGTTGAGGTTTCGATATACACAAGGCTCCAAATGCAGGAATTGCTAGAATCACAGATCAAGTGCGTAAGAATTAGGCAAAAGACAAATGTATGAGGTGATCAGCGCAACAATGGAACAGAAGGCAAACCATATCAGGCAGGAAGACTCTAGCTAAGAATGAGAGTTGGAGCTTGATGCATGCAGGTGAGTGTAGCAGTTGTTAGGGATTTTACCATAGCAGAATGACAAAGGGAACAGAACTATCCCGCACACGCACAAAAAAAATATGCCAATAATAGAGACATTCGATGCCCGGACCCAGTAAGGAAAAAGAAAGGAGGGGGAAGTGGGAAAACGTAAATTACTCCGAGTACTTGGACACCGACAGATTTTCGCGGAAGGATAAGGATAGCCCGATCTGCCACCTGGGCGTAAATCGTTGTATTTCCCTGAAAGAAAGCAGACGCCCCAGCTGTAAGACTGAGCGATAGAAGCCGTAGAGCCACCTTGTCAAGAGCCACGCACGAATCTCGGAGCAGCCGCACAAATAGGGTGGAGCATAGAAGCGTCGAGGTGGAAGAAGTGACAGATGGGACAGGGTTGGGTATCAGGAACCTGCAGATTAGGGGTTTTTAGAGATGGAAGCAGGCAGGGCATAAGAAGATGGAAGATAATAGGTAGGTGCACGATTATAAGCAGAACAATGAAAAGTAGAGCTAGGAAAGAGAGCGCAAAAGGCAGGTCAGTCAGACGTTTGGCCTCCCATATTCGTTAGAGTAGGCTACATCTCTGCCCCAGGATGGTAAGTGCTGTTGTGGACGGATAGAGGCGCCAGCCCGCAGTTAGTGACTACCTTGTATCAAGCCAGGGTAGATGTTGCTTTGCTTTCCAAGACAGTTGGCACAGAGAAGGCCGTATCCAAAGAAACATATCCATGGCAGCAGCCACCTGGGTCATGTTTGTTGTTCTCACCCAAATCCCCAAGCTTTCACTAGAGCTGGACCTTATAATGACAAGAATGGTGGAGAACGCGGCGGATGACTTGATGTTCATCAGGATTGACTGCCGACACGCAGAAGCCGCTGGACCAGATCGGGAAGCGGAAAGGGGAGGGGATTTTGCCAGTTGAGGACGCGATTCGATAGGAAAATGAACGGGGAAGGAAAGCCAGCCCAACAATACTAGAGAGGGAGGAAAGAGGAAGGAATCCTGAAACAAAAGCAGTTCATGGATAAAAAAGCAATTCGTCCAGCACCTCCAGCGAACTCAATCTGGCGATGAATAGTAAAAACAACAACAACGGGGGTCAGATAGAGACATACACCGAGAAGTCGAGCAAGAAGGTTGACGAGTAATGAGATTAAAAACACTGGGGAATGAAGTTCCAGTGTTTGTTTGAACATTGGATTCGTCGGATCCTGAATAATGGGCAAGAAGAGGGACAGCGGTACTTACTCAGACGATTAGACAGTTGGCAGGTTCAGTGTCGGTGAAAGGAAGGAATGAGCACCACGATCAACAAAGGCAGCCAGCCCTTGTGTAGAGGCACTGTAGCTCAGAGCCGAAGCAGAGACCAGGTATGGAGAAGGAATGGCCTTCAGACCAACCAGGGTTAGCAAAGCTCAGGGCGATGTAACGGATCTTCTGACCGTCAGAGCTCGGAAGGGCAACTCCTGCACGGAGCAGGTGGGTAATACAGGGAGGGCGATTCGGAACGGAAATGAAGCAGAGGACGGGGGCCTGTGTATAGCGGCGAGGGTCTTCTGTCTCCTATGGAGCGGCACCCGAGAACCACGACAACGGACAACAAGAGGGAGCCAATAATCCGGGCTGTACTCGCCCTCCCACGCGGTCAGTCTTCTCTTTTTGAAAAAGAGCGAGTAAAGTGAGAGAGTGTGTGTGAGTGGCTCCCAAGATTTTCCCCTTCTCGTCCTTCCCTCTTGGGAGTTGGTGGCTGTGGCTGCCTCCAGTCTAAATGAGATATCCACAGCTTAAAATCGGGGGATTCGATTCGGATCGGGCCTTGCTTCAACGTTTTAGCAATTCATGCACGAGACCCAATCAGCTCTCAAAGAGGATCGACAAGCTCGATCCCAATGGTGTGCATGGCAGGTTTGACTGACACAGATGTCGATTCTTATCTCCCGACTAACGACGAGAATGACGAAGCAAAGGGGACCGACGCTACCGATTCAGTGACTTGCTGAATCCAGGTGAGGGAGAGGACAGGCAGATCCAATCCTATTTATGATAACGGATGCGGCTCGCAGACCTTGTCCATTGTCTGCACTGCACCTTTTTCACACCGTGCCTTGCGGAGAATACACTTAGTTGAGGCTAGCAACGATGCACCAGATGTCGATGGAAGATACGAGTACATAACAAGAAGAAACCAAAAGAACAATCACGAAGGGAAGAGAAAGGGATGGAGGGTTGAAGACCGGCTGGCTCGAGGGCGACAGAGTTGGAAAGGCAACTCGTTCAATCATCATCATGAAGATCACCAGTGTGGGATGTCAGAGCCGAATCAGCCACACCCGACGTTCCGTGGATTGCTGGAGAACAAGGATAGATAGTCTAGGATCAGTCAGGTACGTAGTAACCGGAACCTAGGAGTTTGGCATCGATACATCGACGGCTTCTCCAACTGTTCGTGATTGGGTACCGCTGCTATGTCCCTGACCCAGTAGGCTTTATTCGACGGTAAATTTTCGCTTTTCCATGACAGCTTCAAACAGGGAATCGCTGTATTCCCGATTATAGCATGAGAAATTGAACCCATCCGGTAGCCTTTTCAACGATCGAGGAACGTCCCATGAGGGTGGCAAATTGGGAATGTGCTCTATACACATTGGTCAGGGCTTTCAATGGGTCCCTAGCCCGAGACGCATGCGTGGCACCGAACCACAAGGGATTGACAGCTGCAGCCAGTTTTTTATATCTCCAGAGCGATCTACACAGCGACCCAATCTCGCGAGGATCGAGTGACAATCTTGATATCGGCAATTATTGCTGAGGTGGTAAGCTGGTGACTTTTATGACTTCTGAGACTCGTAGTTATGTTAACGGAGCATGAAGACAGTCAATTTCGAATCGATGGGAATTGAGCGTTTTCACCCCAAGAGAGAAAGGGGTTTTTCTCCCGCTCTTCGCTTATAATCCCCCCCGCCCCTTAATCTTTTGTGTCTCAATTTTCTTTCCCCTCCTCTTCTCGCTCTTTTTCTGTATCTCATTTTCTTTAAGATTCATTTTATCTAATTTTTCAGGTTGGAAAGGGCCGCCAACCGGCAGGATGGTTCGCCACTGACGTTAAAAGAAAGCCACACTAGAGTGGAAAATGGAGACCGGACAACGAGATAACAATCTGTCGGGATTTTGGTGGTCTCGAGATCGTGATGATGTTTCTTTTTTCTTCCTGGTTAAGTTAAATCCATACACCCCCCCTTCTTCAAAATTGGAACTTCGGCTCTGTATCGAATGACATATACAGTAGTCATCCATGTTTTCCATTTGACCAGAAGAAAGCATACTCTCTAGTTGGATGGAATGATCAGTCATAATAAGTCCAGCCCTAATGGGTACAGCAAGACCGCGCGAGTGGAGATCGCGACAGACTCCGAGTAACACAATCCTGTGGGAAATACTCAAGTAAAGAGTACTCTCAGACATGTGAGCCAACGAAAATACGAGGCGGGCAGAATCTCGAAGACTTTGTTATTGGCAAAAAAGCAATCGCTCCTTCGCCTTCTCCGTGTTGCATGGACGGGTCTGGAATCCCTCTGCCGCCGCCGCATTACATGCAGCAACCGGCGAGACTCATTACCGGGTCAAATTTAGTCTAGATGTGACTGCAGAGGATGAATAGGTAGTAGGGACAAGCTAATTGGCTTGGAGGAAGACTATGAGCGGGGAGGGGTGGATGGAATTGGGGAGCGATGGAAAATTCGTGCAGCTAGTATTCCGGTTGATGTTTGTGACTCGGAGCAAAAAAAGATTGTGGGTGTGAAGTACTCCGTAGAAAGGGAGTGTGTGATTGACCAGCAGGCCGGAATTAACTAATGAACTTAGCCCCCTGAGGGCGGAGGGTAGTTACACACTGCACAGTAACTATCACTATTGAGTGGTCAAAGTACTTCGTAGCAAGTACATACATTCCCACTAGGGCCTGATCATCATCTTAAACCTATCAAGTATACACTTTGTACTCCGTAACTACCTGCACTTCATGCAGCAGTACATTTGAATATAATTTATATTTGAACACACGCATACCTTATCCATAGAACATATATGTATGGAGTACTGTCTACACACACACACTCTCTCTCTTTCTCTCCCTCCATTGACATGCAAATTGTGGGCTTAGTATCTAGCTTTTAATCGAAGTATCATAAGAATAGAACTCGCAATGCACGTGGAACTTTTCTGCCTTGCAAATAACTCAATTTGAGAACACCAGAAGTTTGGAACTGGAATGGGTACGGTGGCTAATTTTTACCTACTTACCGATAGTAGACCGTGAGCACTACTGGCTACCACTAGGTAAAGGACGGACCGAGAGGTATGCCAATTGAGCTGGAACCTGCTCCGTAGTACCAACCAAAGTACCCGTGGTCCGTGGATCTTGGGGGGCACTAACGACATGAGAAGAGACCCACAGACGACTAAAGCACCGGATGGAATACCAGCCAATCAATCGTTGACCACTTCAACCTCATCCCACCCTTTTTCCGGCAACGCTCTCGACCAATCCTATCCATTATCAGCAATGTGGCTGGACCCCACTTGGCCGAGTGAGACTGTATCTGTACTCAGTAGGTAGGTCGCTACCTCACCATTTATGGAATTGCCTATAATGAATCTCCATACTTCACCTCAGTCTTGAAAAGTTACAGGAGTACTACTGCTCTGGCATGTTCCTTCTTCCGCCGCCTCTCTGACCCCCCTCTCCCCCCACACCCTTGCTTCTAGTATTTCCGAGATGTTTCCTTCTCCCCTTCCAGAGAGAGAAAAAAAAAAAGGTTTCCAGCTGCGACAAAACTTTCGGGAATTGGAGAAGAGTGGGCACTGGTCAACTGATCTTCGAGAATTTTTGTCTTAGCCCCCTCAGTGTCTTATCCTATTCTGCTTTTGTATTATTGTGTGTCCCTAGTATGTTTCCCTCACTATGATTACGACACAAGCATTCATGCCACCCTTTTTATTCCTCACACATTTCAGTCAGTACGCTTTGCTTTCTGTTTTAAAGAGGCCATTCGGTCTTCAGCGAGGTAGGTATGGTCCGTGATAAGGATATACTAAGTATATTCAGGAAATGAGCCTCTAAACCATACACATACACCGCATCATTGGTCATTGCCTACAACGCTGCTTGTTGTCATAGCGACATTGCGGCGGATATGTGCAGCGCAGGAAGAGAATCCTCCCCTCATTGATTCATTTGTTGTCTGTTCTCTATGAGACCATATGTATACACAGTACATGTGACCTCTCAAAACACAAAAGAACCTGGTCTCTTTCGACCTTCGTGACATCCATCAAAATTTGTGGACAAGGATGGTTATTGTACAAAGCAGAGACTCATCCGACCCATTCTCAGTAGAAACCAAATCGTACTCAATCGCGATCGGAACTAAATCAGAGATGTCTAGTTCATTATACTTCAGGACTCTCTTAATAATCACACATCATTCCTATATCTATCGCCGTGCTTTGCACGAGTACTAGAGAGAAGTGCAACAAAGTCTTTGTTACCGAAGACGGCAGATACGAAGCTGCCAGGGACGTACTGCCCATGTGGATTGAGGGGCGCATTACTCTTCCCTGGAAATTTGTGTTCCCCAGTTCTCTGTCTGGACCATCATACAGGAAAGATCACTACTCACCCAGTTCTTCACAGCAGCTAAAATCAATACTACTGAGCCGTGCAGTATTTTTATCAAACATATAGTGTTAGGCCTAATTGCCCTCCAAGATTACTGGGTATACCCTCTGAACTGTACCTGCGGCACAAGGATGCTTGTCAAGATTACCCGGCGAGTGGACAAAATCTTCAGCATGAAAGAAAATGACATCGACTTCATTTACTGCACGTCTGTGATATACCGCCTTCTGAGTTGCCACACCGCCTTTCTTTGTTGTAATTTAAGTTACAGTACATGACGTCATACATCACCGAGTCTACGAGGAATCTACGAAGAAAAAAAAACTGTCCCTTGCGGTCCGACCTCAAGAGCACGTATGGAAATTGTGGCTGCCTACCGGGGCTTGCATGTGGGTATGCCACCTTCCTCATTGACCCCTACATATTACCTATTACATGGTGATGCGCAAGTTTTGAGCACAATAACATGTACGGATCCACTCAATTCAAATTCTGTACGGAGGAGGGAGTATGATCCTGACTGTGGCGCTCTTTGCCATGCGAGTGCCACCACAAACAGCACTATCTACTGTGTACCCAGTAGGTGTCTAACCCCCCTCTGGCTCATTCTTACTCATTCATCCATCTAGCTCGGCACAATGCGAAATAGTTCTCCACCTCATCCACACTACCAGACTAGCATGCAAGGCGACGCCATCATGGCTTATATAGGGCCGCTTGACGCATCCAATCATATCGTATTGCATGCACCATCCCACCGTGGCATGGAAGAGACAAAAGAGTAGGAGTAGGAGACTCACGAACGGCGCTTCACGGCCTTTTCTGGTTCGCCCTTCAAGCTACGGAGTACGTGTTTGACAAGACGGCGTTATGAGCGAGAACAACGACCTGTGGCGAAGGTTATCGCGCTGATCACCACTCTCAGCACCCCGTATGAAGCCCATCCCATCCCAATGAAAGTCTCGGGGAGGCCTTCGCCACTACCGAAGAACACAACCATGGTTGGCCAACGTGTCAAGGGAGCTACTTAAGTCGGCATGCCAATTGATGTCTTTCGCGTACTGCGGATGTCCCCTGGCTGGGAAGTAATTACGCATTCTATTGCCACATAAATTGGCATTGTACCTTCGACTACACAGCACGGACCGCCCCTATCGATGTAGAGTAACAGTGCCACCTGTCTCGGTTGAACCGTTCAAGGATGCGAACGGGGCTATGCAATCGTCCTACGTTCTGTAAATTGGCATTCATCGAGCGAAAGAAGCATAAGCATGAGTAGCAGCACGGAAAATCATTGAACGGGAAATAAGCATTGGGCCGAGTTGTATGAAATTTATATCGACAAGACTTCGTGACAACCGCACAGGTGTTTTGGCAACATAACATGCATTGTCCCAGTTGGGCCTCGAAACTGCGGATCTCAACCTCGGTCTCGGCATCACATCATTATTACAGGAGCTTCGTAATGATTAAGATTAAAGGAAGGATATAAAGCATACTCAAATACAAGGTTTGGGAAACAGGACTGCTTATCGGTCTATACCCAGCGAGGCGACTTTTCCAGCAAATCTAGCACCGGCACTACCTCTTTTGTGCAGCTTCTCACGCTCCTTACTATCGAGTGAGCTCGGAGCCTGCGAGGGTGATGCGACGCTATTGTCGAGGGCCGGACCTCGAATCGTTGGTGGTGAACCTAGACCATCGGTTGTACTCTTTCCAGTCGGAGGCGCGGGAGGAGTACTGCTATAAGCCGACACTCTTGCAGTCCTTTGACTAAGGTATAATTGAGCAGCCGGCGAAAGAGGGATAGGCGGTGGCTGCAGGGGAATTTCAGCTCCGTTCTGGACAAGGATCTCTGCAATGGGGAAAGGAATCGCTTTCACAGGAGGACTCGCAGGTGATCTAATCAATGAATTAGATGTTGAACCCGGTGTTGCGGGATCAGCTGCGGCTAGGGCAAGAAACACCGCATGGGTGTTGCGAGAACGATCAGTAATGTTCACATTGGCACGAAGCGCGATGCCGTAAAGTACACCCTGGATGTCGTTCTTCTTGATTGCAGCAAGAAGAGTCTCGTCCGCAGTAGCAAAGCGGGATAGGGGGGATGGAAGCGTCTGGACAAATGCTCTTTCGCTATACTTCGCGGTGATGAATTTTAACCGTTGCTCTCTAGTGGAGGCGGCGGATGGTTTATGCAAATGGTCAAGTGTCGCCTCCCATATCATGTTACTGACACGGTTGCCGACCTGCAGTAGGATCTCAACAATGTCGTTCGAGAAAGAATTCACATCCAGCGTCAAAGAGCGAATTTTCGAAATATGTGTCCCGAGTGATCGGTGAATACCACTGCACTCGATGCACAAGACAATTCCCAGATTGATAGATACCCATTCGACCTTCGAGATGGAGCCGCAGTCTGCACACCAATTGTTGCCTTGATCGGCATCGCGCACTGTCTGGAGTAATTTGGAAGGATTTTCTTCGAACCCATGATTGTCACGAACGTAACTTGGTCTTGCGCCTACAGTAGTACGGCGGTTGACATTGTTATTGGAGCCGGTCGATTGAGAATGGTGAACAGAGTACGAGCTGCTTTTGCCAGTCAAAACAGATCCAATGTCACGAGTGAAAGAAGCACCATCATTGTCGGTGGTAATGGGTGGTGATGACATGCCGCGGCCCTCGACTGCACTCTGCAAAGCGTTGTTTATGGCTCTTATCCAATTTGACATATCCTCTTCAGAGGTCGCCTGGTAAATGCGCTTGTATTGTGGCGTGATAACCTCGAAGCAGAATCGCCGCTCTGCATTTCGAGCCTCTCGGACAGATGCCATCCTCAAATCGATGGGGTCCATGTGTAGATCAAGCTTCTGTTTCCAATTGCTATATTCCGAAAGTTTTCCCTGATCTAGAACAATCCAGAATCTGTGTGTCGTTAGTTGAAGGCGAGGAGAGCAGGTGGGCAAACTTTACTTGTGCCAAGCTTGTTTGTTAATGCCTTTGGGGTCCATATGGGAGCCTGGGCGAGAAAGCGCCCATAAAAGACCTTCCTTCCTCTGTTGACCTGCAGCATAATCAGTACAAATGAAGACGGATTCCGAAACAATCTCAGAAACACTATCGTGATGACCGTGCTCAAAGACTTAGGAAAGAACATACTGGTTGAGCCCACCGTTGATGCGAGGACGGACAGCCCAGTCGCAGGTGTCGTAGAAGGAATAGCTTGTGGTAGGATTGTTAAATTATTGCTAGCCACGCTTCGCAGCTGTGACCCGGTGCTATCTGAGCGGCCTAAATCACTTTCCAGCTTCTGGGTTCCGTTGGTACTTCCTGACAGCGTGGACGGAGCGCCCGAAGTGATAAGAGAGTCTGGTTCAAGGAAAGTGTTGCTGCTCTTTTCCAGTGCTCTTCGCTTTTCTTCCCTCTCTGTTCGTTGAAATTGAAATTCTTTATCCGCTTGCCCGACCTCGTGGATCAAAGCATCCAACTGGGGAATCATATCATCAACCTTTTTGGCGGCAGCAAGAAAACTCTTCGCCTGAGTGTCCGCATATTTGGTCAAGTGTGAGAGAACCTCTTGCTCTTTGCGACCCCCGTGCAGGTCCTGCATGAACGAGGAGTAATCGAAACGCTTTAGTTCGAAGTTGCGCCGCTTAGCCTGATATTTCGAGTCACTCTCCGCTCGTTTTTTCTCCTTTAAAGTATCCTGTCGCTGGCCAAGATAGCGACCAACGTAGGCGTAATAATCTCTGCTCTCTTCTTCAAACTCCTTTTTTTTGGCCTCGGCCTGTTTAATATCATTGTTGTAAAGTTTGACCAACGGCTCAATAAGGAGTTTTTGGAGTTGTAACGTGTTTAGTCGTTCGTAATTCAGAATCTGGCGTGCCGTATTCTCGAAATAATGATCAAGTGCAGGCTGAATTGCATTGGCATTGGATGTAGAGGCTTCGTTTAGTGCGGAGAGGAATGCTTCTACAGCATCATTACAAGCCACTTGTGCTTGCTGGGCAGCCTCCGCCTTCTTGAGCACTTTCTTTATTTTTGCTCGCATATTCCCTGTCTTCTGCTCTAGTGCTTTCATGGTTGCACGGAATAAGGGACCATCCTCAACCACGCTCATGTCCTCCCCGGGACGCGAATGAGGCAGATCGACTTTGACAGGGTGCGGAGGTACAGACCCGGGGAGTTGCAGAGAGGCCGTGTCACCAGCTTCTGGAGGTGTGACAGGCACAACATGGAGGTTCGATGCTGTATCTGCATCGCTGGAGTGGGATATGATGGACTGCGAGGAAGGAATACGATCTCGAAAAGGGACGGGGATTTCTAGGCTTGGGGACAAGACCTGAGGACTGGAAAGGGCACGCTGGGTGCTATGTACCCAAAATGAGACATGAGCGAGAGTATTCAGGCGATTGGCTCGCTGGTCGTAGTCAAGAAAGCTGCAGCTATTCCTCCAACCACCTCCTTTGTCCTCTATGGCTTTCGGCGGTTTCCATTTCCACGACCAGTCGAATTGAATCGAAGGATTGCCCCCCGTCGAATAATCGCCCACCAGCTGTACGTTGGAATTGTTCTGGAGATTCGGGTTGGCGTGAAACTCGCGAGTAATTAGATTATCCAGATCTCTAGTGTTGGACGCGTGCGCAAACGTGAGGCCGGTAAGGACAGTGTCGGCTACTTCAGGCAAAGATGTAGAGACTCCGTTCACAGTGGCAGTTGCAACGTTTCCCGTTTGCGTTTGCCTCAAGATGAATGTGAAGTTGAAGTTCAGCTCATCTTCGTTAGCCAGGCGCAGGAGAAATGTGGGCACTGGTGCAGATGGAGGAAGATCCGGGTCCTAGCCACCATCAGCAAGTGAAGAGATTAGCCATCGATGTTCAATCATAACAGACACAAAAAGTTATCATCATGACATAGCAGGCGCTTTGAACTTACCTGAATGTACTCGATCGGGCTGTCATCGCCAACTTCGCGCCTTGCGGTATATCTTGTCGCAGGAAAGGAGTTGGGAACGAGATGCAAGAGTACTCGACGCCTAGAATTTGTGATCGTTACGGCAGCAATCGTGACTAGACAAGTCCAAATGAGTCACAGGCTCTGCTGTAGTTCTTCTCTGGAAGGGTCATACATTTCGCTTGGTCTTTAAAGTACAGGTTCCCGGAATCATCCAGGCGGCTTCCAACATTGCCCATGATTGAATGGCTGAAGCTATCAAGTCACCGCTCGAGACAAATAGACCGGAGAAGTGACCGGTGGGACTAAGGAGGAGCATCGACGATCTGCGCTCCCGTAGCCGGATGATGCGCCAGACTGAGGCTAAGGCGATGGCAAATAACACAATCTAGAGAATGAGCCGGCATTCAGAGCGTTATTGACTTAGTTGTTTGCGACCAAGTTGCTTGTCGCGAAACGAATCTGTACATGTGCGTGCTATGGACCACGAGGACAGTGCGGGCGCGAAAAGAAGGATTGCTCGAGTGATGACCAGCGTGCGCGCGGGAAGGAGCAGATCTTGCCGTTTCGATTTCAGGAATGACGGGTTCCAAGAGGTGTATTGATCTGACCTTCGCCGAAAAGGGGGG